TTGTATTTTATAGTCACTATTTTCGAAAGGCTGGTATTAAATTACTAAGGTGTATACGTAAACCAATATGATTTGTTCATAGACCAAGGTGTGAATAACATAGATTAAATATCCTGTAAAAGGTCACATTTCCGTCACATACTCTTCGGTTTATATGTTAGATTAACTCCGATAAAAAAAAAAAAAAAAACAAAATAGTTAAGTCTCCCCATAATTAAATCGGCGCTTTAGACATTTTAACCTTTAATTTTATTCGAAAAAAAAAAAGTAACAGGTATTTGAAACAAGGTAAAATGGTTCCAACAAAGCTGACACTCCTTTGATTAACTAGTTACCGTCAGTAAGCAATAATTACAAGCCGGATATTTAATTATGGTAAAATGCTGTTATTCACCTTGCTCTGTGATACAACTGTTTCCTGCTCATTCATAAAATTATCGTTACCTATGTGTTGCAAAATTTTACAATTAAAAATAATAAATGTGAAAGTTTAGATGGATGGATTTTTGTTAGAGTTTGTAGCCTAAACGGCTGGACGGATCTTGAAATTTGGCATAGACGTAGAGGACAGTCTGGTAGAACACATAGGTTACTCACTTTTGTTTTTTCTACTTCCACGCGGGCAGAGTCGCGGGCGAAAGCTAGTAATTACATAAACAGTAACTTTTTTTCTGTTTACTTAGAAGACAATTATAGTTATCAATCTTGTGGATTTATTTAATTTTTTTATACCATATTTATGTTTTTTATGTACGTATGTCGCCTAAACGGATGAATCGTTTTGACTAGTGAATAATTTCTATTTTTCTGGTATCCAGTGGCCAGTACAGCCATTCGAAGTTATTGACGGATTGAAAATGTGTTTATTATTACATTAATTGTTGAAACTCATGTACGTGTAAATTCCACGGTTTTAAAACATAATATTTGACTATGTTATTAGGAAAACGTACAGATTTGTACAACAGAATGCCAAAACAAATTGTTTACAAAACAAACACGTTAAAATGTTGACAAACTTTTAGTTGTAAATTTAAATACGATTTTTACAATACTGTGCAATTGACATGTTTTATGCGTCAAAAAGCAATCTTAGATAAGCTAAAATGTTTCTAAAGATGCACTGATGATGATTACACTGCACTGTTTTCGATGTCCCAAAGCCTGGCTTACCGTCCCGCGTCAATCATAAAAGCCATAAACATATTTTACATATGTAAATATGATGATGAAATTTTATCAGTTTATCTCGCATCCTGTCCTTTCAAGAGCTCACAAAAGCGGTTGAGAGTTACATTATTAGGATTTAAACACAGTTATGATAAAATTTCTATTGTAGAAACAAAAATAAAGTACCACATTGCGGAGAGTAGTGGAAAAAACAAATAGGGGTGAATAGATGTGTTAAAGATTAGAATAAATTTGGTGAACTGACCAAATTCGACTGACAACCTTCGATAGTCGGAGAGGCACCTTAAGAAGAAGGAAGATTAGAAAGAAAAATAAAATATCATTGGTTGTAATTTTAATAAAATTAGTCTTTTTTGTCAAATACTTTTAAACTAGATGATTAACGTTTAAAATATTACTAGTACATTATAAATAATATAGATAGTTTATAATTAGTAAACTGTAAAATCAACAGGTGTGTATTCCCCTTTACAACGTCGCGCGAGGTCGGCCGAGACATTTCGTTCGCAGATTTTTTACATACATTATCAGTGTTATGTGTTTAGTGTCCATTGAAACACGTGAATTTGTATTAATTAGGAAAGTGACCGTGAATAAAATTTTTGGAATAATAGTGAAATTATGTGTGACAGAGAATTAATACGACAGACTTCCTTGAATCGACCAGGAAGTGTTAAACGAAAGAATCGAGACGTCCTTATCGATTTACCGGATACTACACGAGAAAAGTGAGATTTTTAAATTAATAAATTATACACTGATTTTATAATAATAATTGACATTTAACAAATTCAGTGCCAAACACTCGGATGACAACTCGATTTTGATCGAAAAAAAACATACAGACGAATTGAGTACCACCTTCTTTTGGGAAGTCGGTCAAAGTAAATGTAAATCGTTAAGAGAAACAAGTAACAATACAATAAATTATCAAACAGACTAAAGCTTCCTCTATAAAACGCTATGAAATAATCCTTATAACACCGTTTCCGTCCAAGCGTTAAACCAAAGTAAATTCAATTGATATTCTAAAATCGGTCAAATCGTTTAAACTGCTGGAAGTCTGAGTAAAAAGAAATAAATACATACATATTAGATAGTCTAATACCATCCTCTAACTAGAGTAAAAAACATTATTCAGTAAACCCCGTATAACGTTTATTGTTTCGCGTTATAGGAAGTCGTGCTATAAGTATTACCCCGTATAACACGTTTTTCTTCAAAACCGAAAATCAATATATCAAATATCGCGTTATAGGAGGTAGTTAGCGTTATATGGAATTTACTTAGATGCAATCATCAACCAAAGTGTTTTGACGATGGCATTTGACGGTTGATGTTTTGAGTATTTTCAAACATAATTAACATACGCTCGGAATGATGTATTTGGTATTCATAACATTTGGAATAGCTGCTCACGTAAACATTAGTCCGTGTAAACCTGTCTTTGTTTATACAAGCTTTTAGTGTTTAGAATACGTATATTAAAATTACATTATTATTCATAGATCTAGCCTATTAGCTGTGATAGGTTTGAAAAAATAAAAATTTCTTCCCAAATTAAGTTAAATTTTTGTTATTTCTTTAAAGTTATAACCGTTAATAGGTTTTACTCTACTAACTTTAAAGTCTATAAAGAAAGCAAAAAGGCCCCAATTTTTGTCGCGCGATTTGAAGCTAAACTATTTAACTACGCCGTAGTCTTTCTCCAAAAATTAATCATAAATATGGCACCCGCCTGCTAGCACTTTCGGATAAAAAAATAATTTTCAAAATTGGTCTACCAGTGGGAGAATTATGCCGTAACACACTTAAAAAAGAGATGCAGACGAATTGAGTAGGCCTTCTTTTGAGAAGTCGGTCAAAAATATTTTGCTAATCTATGAAATGGTAAAATGTTTTTGCTTCATGTAACCGTAGAAATAACCCAAAGAATTTGTAAAGTAATTTTTAGGTAATTAAAAAGAAAGATTGCTTTTTTTTAAGAAAATTTAGGCTGAAGGCTGTCGGAGGCCTTATTTGAGGTCCCTTTCCCTTTCCACCCTTTTCTTAAGAGGAAAGGATGGGAAGGAAAAGTGGTTTTGACGGTGGAGGAGACGCATAGGAAGGGAAAATGTCCTCTTTAAGTGCGTCTCCTCCTCCGTCAATTAAGGGTAGGCAACGCTGCATTTGGGAATGTTTATGGGCTGCGGTCGCTTTCCGTTTCGTTGGATTCAGGTGGCCGCTTGCTCGTTTGCCACCTTATATTAAAAAAAGTAACATTTTATGTTTCTTTGAAGCAAACAATATCTCTATTTTAATAATGTCAACTTCATGCAAAATGTTACGTTCATGTTTTGTGAAGTCATGATGTGGTTTTAAAACTATATAATTGTTTGTTTAGTTTTAACTTGTTACTCTTGATTACGTAATAAGATAAAATTTGATATAAGTCTACGGTCTATAGAAACACAAATGATAATATTAAATCCGTGAATACTGAAGAAAAAGTTAATTTCTTTAGTCATTATCTATATTTATTCAAAAGAAATTATCTCGATGAAATGTTCAAATCAGAGCTTACTAACTATAATCAGATATCTACATAAAGTTTTAAATTTATTGTCTCTGAATATCGGTAACATTTTTAGAAACGTATTTACGGATTGCTTAAATATTAATAATTTTTATGTTATCGTCTATTTCATGCAGCAGTCACTCACTTCTTAGCTAAAATAACAATTTACCAAAGTGTACTAGTGTAGTGAAGTTTAGTTTAGTAACAAATATTTCTTTTAAACACTACAATCAGCGCCATCTGTTGATAAGTCGTGATAACAGCGAAGTAGATGTTTAACTTCACAAACAGCTGTTTTTCTTATTGATTTTCCACGAAGCCGCAAACAAATCTCACTGATCACTGCATTACCTGCAGTTTACACACAAATTTGACGTCATATACGTGACACTACACTGTTATAACAGTTTTAAATTCGTAATAATTACGACAAAATCGAAAGCATATTTAGAGTGTAAAATACTAAACATTTTTCTAGTGAAAGGTTATGTTTTGGACTATATTATCGTAATAATACTGGATAAGTAGGAAGTGTTTGTTTGAATAAATAATATGGAAAGGACATTAAGAAGTGGGTTATATAGAAGAAATTTTATAAGTTCACGTACAGAAGATATCCCAATGGATACCATACGATTGGTGTCTCCAATAAACAGGTTCAATTTTCATGGGAATTTTAATAGTGACGATTTAGATTATTTAGAGAAGTAAGTAAAAAGCGGACAGTAGAAAGGTGTATTTATAAATATTTAGCTCTGTTATATAATGTATATGACACTTATCAAAATAAAAAAAATAGTTATAATCACATAACATGATTCTGTGTTACGTTACGTATTATTGTTAAATACATTTAATAAGACAAAGATTTAGTCAGATAATATCTTCAAGGACCAATTTTTAGATACCTTATTTGTATCATAATTTCATAGTTTAATATACGATTTTTTTCTTTTCTTAATATTTCATTAAGTAACTAGGATTATATAAAATAAAATACCATGTTTATTAAAAATGTATAGAATTGTTTGAAATTTTTAACTAGAAATTTTGAGAACATTCTATAAATACTCAAGTAAGTGTTAATTATATTGATGTAAAAACCATAATTCAGAGTAAAATATTATACAAACTTATTTAATTAAGTACCATAATGAGTGACGTAGATTAGAAATAACGTCAGAAAATGTAAGAAATCCATTGTTACATTTCATAACGTTTTAAAAGATATTAATTGACAATGTTGTTACAGGCCATACAAACTAAGGACAAAAGTGATAATAACTGGCCTGGTGCTCCTCGTGCTAGTATCAGCGTTGAGCGGCTTCCTCATCGGCAGCGCTGACTACGCGGCATGGAAGAACTCCGAACCACCAGATCCAGTACATCCATTAAAACCTTCACCGTCTGTTCTGCACGTCTTTCAACGAGCTGCCGTGTGTACAGATGCACCACAATGTTCAAAGATTGGCAGGTAAGAATTAAACTTATTATTGTACATTGTTTCCATATAGCAAGAATATAAAAAGAGATTTATTTAAAACCACCTGTTAAAAAGATTTCAGTTGATTCCGCTACTCGCTAATAGATGGCGGTGTGATGAAATATCGTTTAGAACCGGTGTGCTATATCAAATGCCGGTAATATACATTTCGTATTATATAACTTCCCAATTCATTCTTATAAGCTTAAATATTTAAATTAATTGAGTCAATATTTATTCAGAATAATTTAATTGTCAATAATTCATACAGTATGATTTTAATTATTTTTGAATCAGTGTTGTCACATTTAGCTTCTCCCTACTAAAGTGGTAGGTTGTAAGGTTACAATGATTCTTTTAATATTTCCGACACAAATCTATTTGCGTTTTACTGCTTTTAAGATATTTCTAAGGTAAGCGTAGAAGTATAATATTGAAACATTCTATTTTTACGTAAAAAAAGAAGTATTGCGTATTTTATTTTTTCCGTGTAATATCACAGACATCATCACTTGGTCCGAATTATGCAGTAACACTTTATTCGATTACATTTTCACATTTTCTTTGGATATAAAATGACGCATAAAACGAAAGACAAGATTGTAGTTGGTGAAGAGTCACATTATTTATTATTCGTTCATATACAAAGTTCTTTACTATTTAAAATAAATGCCAGTCCAAATTACATTGGTATTTTTTAAAAATAATGTATGGCCACACTACGCAACATAAACACAACATGCTGCGCATAAATAAACATCTTTCATAACCGGGTCGCAGCGAGCTCTCCGCCAATCACGTTTCGAGAAGTTTATCGACGCGCATGCGGTCAGTGACGTGTCGCACCGCGCCTATATAAGCACACCGGCCTTTGGCGTCGCGAACATTTCATTGAAACAAAATCCACAGTAACGTTGTCACTGTGACAAATTCCGTGTGTACTTCAAACAAATCACATTTTCAACACGTAAATATGTCCGAAGCCTTCTTTGACGAGTACGATTACTACAACTTTGAACAGGACAAACACATCTTCTCCGGACACAGCGGCAAGCAGCGCTCGAAGAGAGAGGTAAGCGAGCACACGAACCACTTCGACCCGTCCGGCCATTCTAGAAAGATCGTAACTAAATTGGCTAACACAGAAAAGAATAAGAAAGCCGGTAAAAAACATTAGATGGACAATTTTTGAAACGGACGACCATGGCGTGTAGAAGGATAATGGAAATGCCGAATGAAAGGAGACTTTTGAGGATACCCGAGGAGAGCGCGGGTCGCGGCTCGTCGCAGAGATCACTGGAACACCCGAGACGATTCCTGTTGACCCAGGGCTTCTACGTCGCCCAGCACGGCGCCTCCGCCAGGGCGCGCTGGCGGGCGAGGCAACGGCAGATGTGAATCGTGCACCGGCCTCATTGCAACCGGTAAATCTATTTTGGATACAACACCGTTCCAACGACTGATCTCAAATCTCGCTGAGCTTGTTGTAGAGCTCAAAATTGCTGTGTTACTAATTAACTAGATGCTTACTATTACGTTTTAATTTTGTATCGGTAGCGGTACACAAAGGACTGTAATAATAATTTTAAGTTAATAAAAATATTAAATTATACTCCAGTTGTTTTATTTGTTCGTGTCCGCAAGGCGGAAAATAAACCGTCCTCTGGCGAGGTCGTTGGCTTGTTTGTTATTGAGTTGAGATACGGACGGGCGCAAACGACTACGCATCTACACTTTGTGTTTATATACAAAAAGAACCTTGGCTCGACTATCTGTTAGTCTGCGACTCGCTGACCTTGCCTCGTTAGTTTTTGTATTCATGTATTGCTTAGCTTTAAAGGCAAACAATATTTACAATCTAGTTCCATTTATAAAATAGCAAACAAGAATCTTGTAAAGAAACCCTAATAGCAAGTAGGTAGTTATCCCCACTGACTAATGAAATTAATTCACAAGTAGATATGCAATAACTTAATAAAGTGGGTAAACATAACATTATTGTCTTTTATAATAAAGTAGATTTCTATGTACTAGTTATAATCACTATACGTCCCCAGTGAGGGGACTCGGAGCCTACCATTAACTTGTTACAATAGGTATAGTGAAAATTGTGTGAGGTCAGTGACTTTGTTTTAGTTTTGAAATTTTCAATTCAGATGATTGATTGCCTTTAGTGATAGGTGATTTAATAAAAATTTTATTGTAATAAAAAAAATCTATTGAAATCCACTTTTAAAATTGGATTAATACATTTATCACAATTGATTATTCCTTCAATTTATCCTTTTATATCCGTTAAACATTTAGTTACCTTAAAACTGCCATTTAAGGGGTTAAATATTGCTAGAAGTTGTAAAACCTTTGCAGGAAGTTACACAAAGTAATGTTGCAGGAGGAAGTGCTGCGATTGGAATTTTAAACGAATAAAAATCGAAGGTGATCGAAATTAAAAAATGGGAACTGAGTACCTACAGTTGGCCTTTACGTAGTACCACAGATAATACAATACTAGTACTAGTACCTGCCTATTTGCGCGGTTCACACTTGGCCAGTACAGTTGGTTGCGCACCATGATTGTCTTAACCTTGCTCAGTCTGAACGCTGTCATCAGAGAGTCCATACAATCTATGACTTGCCGTTGCAACTGTCCAACTGTACTATCCAATTGTGAACCGCACATTATTTTTAATATCATCAACATCACCAGCTCACTATACGTCCCCACTGAGGGGCTCGGAGCCTAACCTAATTTATGGGGACTAGATCTTAGTCATATTAAAAATATAACTATGACCTTCATTGTAGTGGGTTTCATTGACTTCAGATATTATTTATTAAATGACTTGGGAAGCTCTAAAAGACCTGGCTGTTCTAATAAGATTGTGGTCTTAGTAAGAGAGAATAGAATATTAAATGACAAGAAATACTTTCTAGATTGTTCCCCAGTATTACTCTTTTATGGCTACATTTTCTTTAAGAATTCATTTAAGAAATTAAGGATTCATTGCTTTTAATATCCATTCTTCAAATCTCAACACATTGTTGTGTAACTAAGATAATAATATCGCAAAAACGTGTTGAATTATATTGAATCTGGTCGAGTCTTGAATAAATTTGCAACGATAAATTGATTATTTTCATTAACACGTCATACGTATTTAAGTATGAAATTACTAGAAGGAATATTGCTGATTCTAAATGGCTTGTTAGCGCGTTTGCGTGCGCTGACTCACGTAAGCTTGTCCTTATTCCACTTGGAAGCAACTTATTGTATATTTTTATTTGATTACTGAGTATGTTTTTAAATGCAAAATTAGCTTTGTATGTTTTAATTTAAATGATGTTGGTAGGTAATATAAAAACCTTAAAGCAGGTCTTATATCGTAGATAAACTTTCTATCAGAAAAATCGTCTGTTTCTCCATGGTCAAATCGACCCGTTGAGTAATGGAAAAAATGGGATTTTTTTCTATTGGGCCGTTCGAATTTATTCAATCAATCTACCGAAAATCCCAGTGGGTCGATCGGCTGGGAAAATCCCTGAAAATCAAGACCATTAAAATAAATTATTTCGTATCAGAACTGATCATGATTTGCCATCCCACGGTTGGTGTATTGTTTATTATTACACTAGCTTTCGCCCGTGACTTCTTCCACATGGGAATGAAAAAAAAACAATGTGTTCTTCCAGAATATTCTCTACATCTATACCAAATTTCATAGGAATCCGTTCAGCAGTTTAGGCTACGAACTCTAACAAAAATCCATCCATCCATATAAACTTTCGCATTTATAATATTAGTATGAGTATGATTATGTTCCTTTTAGACACATCCTCACGTCAAATGGCTCCGCGGTGGACGCAGCGATCGCGGCGATGTTCTGCAATGGACTGTACAACCAGCAGAGCATGGGCCTCGGCGGTGGCTTCTTCATGACCGTCTACATAAAGGAGGAGGGCAGAGCGTACACTGTGATAGCGCGAGAGACAGCGCCGGCTGCGGCTACGGCTGACATGTTCCATGGGAACTATGATAAGGCGAAGAAAGGTGAGTTGCACTTTGGCCCTCAATAGATGGCTCTCATATTGATTATTGAAAAAACATAAGACTGTTATTACCTCTATAAATGACTACAAAAGTATAGATTACCTTTATACTAGGTCGAGGGCATTTTACTACATATTTAAAAACAATATAAGGTTTCCTTTAACATGCGTGTAACATTACTAAGGTTTATTGCGTCGAGAAGTCATATAACGACTTTAGTCACAGAACTTTTAAATTATTTTGATTAACTACTAGCTGTTGCTCGCGACTTCTCCTTTTTTCCTATGTCCCCAAAATGGGTCAGAGGGCGTCCACAGTACGCCGCCAGCTCGCTCTGTCCTGGGTTCTGCGTTGGGTCTCAGACCGTGACAGCCCGATTGCCTTCAAGTCGGCCGCCACTGAACGCCGCCAGGTTTGTTTTGGGCTCGCGACTTCGCTCTCGTGAAATTAAAAAATATAACCTATGTTACAGATAAATTACCTTTCTAATGGTGGAAGAATTTTTAAAATCAGCCTAGTAGTTTAGTAGTTTAGTAGTTTAGTAGCCTAGTAGTACGTGAATCGAATACATAAAAAATACTACATTGCTGCAGCATTTTTACCGATCAGCGTATATGTGTAGGCATATGGTGATATAATCGCTTAGTCAGTTTGTCGTGTACGTATTGAGGTTACGTTACAGTTTATGCAATTGTTTTCCGAAACATGCGTTGTTAGCTGAAATCGTTTCATAAACTTTAAATAATAATTGAAGTTATAGACCTAAATTCAGATAGGAACTTGGTAGCAATAATTGAAAAAAATTAAGGGCCTGTCCCACTACTGGCTGACAGAGGCTCAAGGGAACAAAATACGATATTTCCATCACGTTCTACATGTTGGATTGTTGTCATTCAATTTACAAATTGTTGGAGCTGGCCCTAATTGTTTTAAAAATTAAATTTTCTAGATGTATATACGAGAATGTATTTAAATATCGATAATGTTATCGTCTAATACGTGTCCGTTCCAGTTAACCTTATCGGTGCGGCCTCGGAAATCTTTTCTATTTATTAATATTTCTTTGTTCAGTATAATGTTTTATCTTTAACACTCTATCTTAGATTTAAACGTTTATATTTTTATGGTATTAGGTGGCAATCGAACAAACAGCCATAATAACCTCAAAATTAGCGAAGGTAACGCTACACACAGATATTTGCGTCATTAACAGAAGCGTTTCCTATCTTCAAATATGTATGTAAGAACAAAGAATGGTTTGCTTTTAATAAAGTACGCATTCAATACAATTTAGAGACTGTATGAGATATTTACAAAAACCGGTATTGAACGAGTACGATATTTGGCACGCGATTTCTTGAACTCAAAACAATGAATTGTTATCTCTTTTTTTTCGATAAGAATGACAGAGATGGGATTATTTTTCGACAGGTAATAAAATGTTCTATTTATAACCAGTACTTCAATTAATGTAGGTAATACTGCACTCATTAGAAGAACAAAGGTTTTAACTACGACTATTGTTAGAATGTGGGTTATGTTTTATAATTAAAAAATCTCTTTCATAGCAAAAACAATTGTTTAAATATTAAACAATGTTTTATTGAGAACAACGACCTGATGGAAAATGGAAGAGTAATAAGCACATGAACATTATTTTAATATACATTGAAATTTATTTCATAAAATTAGGGTTTTACTGTGATGCAAAAACACTTGTATAAATCAGACTGACATCCGTTTTCTTCTTTTTAGGAAGGACGAAGACAAATCATTATCGTACTTTTCTTTATTGTATTTTGTTCATTGTTTATTAATGAAATATCTTAAAAAAAAAACTTTGTTTATTTGGCTTTAACATTACTGAAGATTTAGAAGGAAAGTGCTGACGAGATAAAAATAATTACATCTCTAAAATACTTCTAAGTATGTGCAACTCTATCGTTGTATTATTTAGGAGGCAATTGACAGTGTCACTAAGCCTGTCTTAAGAATGTACCTACGGATTTTGCGAGGCGCTTTCATGAGAAAGTTTCACCGAAGCTTTCTCTTCGATCTGGTTCGACCGACTAATGCACGAGAGACGCAAGATCTTTCAAATTTCACTATCATATCACAATTCATAAGCTTACGAATTAGCATTGAGATCCAATTTGTTTAATTTTTTGCGAAAATTGAACCAAAAATAATTAATCATTAGACTTCAAACTATGTAACTATTTTTACAGGTCCACTGTCTTTAGGAGTTCCTGGTGAACTGCGAGGGTTGTGGGCGGCGTACAAGAGATGGGGCAAACTCCCTTGGGAGAGTTTAGTTGCCCCAACACTGGATCTCTGTGAGAACGGCTACGTTATGTCAAAAGTTCTATTCGATGGACTTGAAAGTGCACCGTATATCAAGAATGATCCTCACTTAAGGTGCGTAGTTATAATTACCATCTGATGAATTTAGATGGATGGATGTTTGTTACAGGTTGTAGCTTAAACGGCTAGACGAAGCTTGATTAAATTTGGCGTAAGTGTAGAGAATAATCAGAAAAAACACATAGGCTACTTAATATTTTTATATACAAGGAAATATAGAAAATTTTAAAATAGGAACTATAGCGGCAAAACAAAAAGAAAATAAATGAGGAAGCAATTTGGGTCTTTGGTTACTCATTATACAATTAAAATGTTTTGTATTTCTATATTTGAATTAAAATCAAAGGTATACTTATAATTGCGTTTTTTATTAAGTTATCTATCTATACTATTATAATAAAGCGTAAACACACACTTCTTTGTTGCCTAAGATCTCAGCAATTACAGCATATTTTTAAATAATTCTTTTTTTAATAAAAAGCCCTACACTTACGCCAGGCTTTAGGCTATATATTTTCACGACATTAAACTTAGGGGGTAAATATTTTGATAAAAACCCTAACGTGGGAAAGAGACCATAAGTTGCTGCCAACATCAAGGAAGCAAGATTGCCAAGTTTTGTCATGTCATGACATTTTGACATTTGCAATCGACCTATGTAAACAATAAAATAATTTTATGCTGATAAAATCGCACGGGAACAGCTAGTGGTAACAATAAAAAACAATGTAACTAACTACGCACCTATTTCGACTTGCGCATGAGTCATTTGTCTATCTCTTGTATTATGCAATACGCAACGAGATTGCGCGATCGTTGTTGTCAAACATATACACTATATTTATATGTATTGCTAATCGTAGTTGATAGCAATATTACTGTTGACGACCAATTATATTTATATACTTGAGAAAAACAAAACAATCCTATTATATTTTGTTAAAAACCTGTTAAAGAACTTTGTATTCTTTCAACTTTTGATTCATTTTCATCCTTATTTATTCATAAACTTCTTTATACAATAATTTGCATATTATGCGAGGTTTTTACTAAATGTTCTTCATTTATTTTTGTCCGATTCCTACTCACTCTACCACACGTTTACTATACACCAGACTAAAATTAATCAAGAGAGACAAGGATCTTGTTACACTGGAAAAAATTAAACGGTTCACATTTCTTTCTAGGAAAACATACTACAACCCTACAAAAGGCCAGTTCCACAGACCAGGGACGGTGGTGAAGCCGAGTGACGCGTTCTGTAAGACGTTGAAGTTAATAGCAAGGAATGGTGGCGATGAGCTATACAACGGTAGTCTTGCTGTTGAATTCTTGGACGACTTGCAGCGCGCTGGCAGTATAGTTACTGCTGACGATCTCAGGAATTACCAGTAAGTAAACCAATGTAATTTGATTTGTACATTTACCCGAAGTTCTTACGGTGAAGGAAAACATCGTGATGAAACCTGCAAATCGGCGAAGAAATTCAAAGATATATTTTTAAAGTCAACCCGCAGAGTGCCATCGTTGTTAACTATGGCCTAGTTAGAGGAACAGAGGGTTTTGGTAGGTATACCCCATTATGGGGAGAATCCCACATAACTACCGCCCCCCCCCCCCGGGCGCTGAGTATAGTAGAAAAAAGGCTCCGAGCCCCTCAATGGGGTCATATAGTGGTCTGATAATGGAAACAGTGTTTAAACGAGGGAATAAGTTTTATTGCAATAATAAAATACATAACTACTCTATAGGTCATGATTTTTAAGCAAAATTACTTTTTATCGAATTACTGTTTATCGAACTATTAACAACATCATTATAACCTTTTATAAACAAGTGCAATAATTTTGAACACAATATTTATAGGAGGTCAAGCTACAAGTCACTCTTTAAATGTTTCAGTAAATAACGTTTGTCATTTGTTCGTCATTTGGTCAAACATAAATACCTATTCAAAGCAAACAACCACTAAATGAAGCCAAGTATGAATTCCCTTTAAATCCGGCAATTTTTCCCAGGTATTTTGATGACGTAGTGTTATAACAGATGACTAGAATTATTGCACAAAAATTTACAATATTTACACATTCCACGGAACAATTAATAAGTCGTGACTCAAAATAATTCGGTGAAATATAACGTAGTGTTTATATTTCACAATAAAATGACACTTACATTAAGAAAAAAATTATAATAACGATTACGAGATTTTGAATAACATGTAGCAATTTTATCCATTTGAAAAAACGAATTTCTAAAAAAATCCTACGCTTACATAATTAATATAGCCGCTTTATTCTTTGAAAATATTTCAAAAAATCATATTTTATTTGCGATTTACTTTTACAAAGACTGTTTTATTAAACAAAACAAGTTATCAATCTTTAATAAATTATCAATAGCTACTTTATTTCTAGAAAAAACATTTACAAAATTAGTCGTAATCGAAACATATCAGCCTAATTATGTTTTGAATTTTTATCGGCGGTCGTTTCGGATTTAGCATACCTATCTTGTAAACAAACAAAGCGATCACGTAATTGTCTGAGAACATTGTTTATTATTATATTGACGTAGTGTGACTTGATAACCGGTTCATATCATTATGGACAAACGAACTAATAACAAAATAAAAGTATTTAAAAATGAAGCTTTTTATTATGATATAGATTTCGCTTGCGAGTACGACCTATTGAATTAAAAAAATCACAGTAAGTAGCCTTTGTGTTCTTCCAGACTATGTTTTATATCTGTGCCAAATTTCATCTAGATCCGTTCAGCCGTTTAGGTTACAAACTCTAACAAACATTGATCCATTTAAACTTTCGCATTTATAATATTAGTAAGAAAATAATTTAATAATACTGGCTGGACTACACAGTAACTTAGGTAGATGGGATAGAAATAGGTGCTCACGGCCCAACGTGAAGCTATAAAAATAACGCAGCAAATCAATTCCATTTAAAATGTTACTGTATAAATAAATATATCATGTAATGTTCCTCACCGCAATTAAAACAATAAATCAAACGTTATTAGCAAATGTTTTCCTACAATTTAATTATAATTAGCTTCACAGTGACTCATAGATTGATGATTTATTTTTAAATTGTTAACACTGCCATCTAGTGTAATAATTAGAAGTTTTTATCAATAAAGAAATAAGATAAACCTTTTTGCTTGAAAACTTTACTCTAACACGTAAAGTATACTAACTAATTTACTTCGCTTTGTTGTATAGCGTTTCAAATTTCTGTATGCGATTAAAATTCCCAATTCGACAAAGTTCGACTGTTTAATTTCTTTTTCTGACTTCATTTCACAATATGGCGGATATTCTGAATTCATTTACACCTGTGTAAAGTTGAGACGACTTAAACAATAATATTTTCGATGATTCATTGTTTTTTATTCTGTTATTTGTGAGGATCGTCCTCATTAAATTTTATTGTTTCTGTTTAATAGTTATATTGACTTTTCGTCACTGTTTTGTCTTTATAAGTAAGAAATAGCAGTCTTATTAGGCTTTTTTCTCTTTCACATTTAAATACTATTAGATTCTTAGACGAATGATCGATCTTTGCTAGTATACTTATATTATTTCTGTTGAAGTTTTCGGGATTACATTTTATGAAAACTAGCGACTGATGGCCAGTTTCCCAGCTACATTTAACTATTCGTTAGTGTTTTCGATTCGATAACTTCATGAAATGCGTTTCAGAACTATATTTTAAGTTTAATTCTAGATAATTAGGTCAACCTAACACTAATGAATCAATAGGTGTATAAAAGAAACATCAGAAACCCAGTCTTCATACCTAATATAATGATCAGATGCAAATATGACGTGGGGACTTCGAAAGAAGAGTTAATAGCTATTTATTAGGCTGGATAGAAGTCAAGCCAATACCATTAGATCTGAAACAAAAAGAAAAAAGCCTCACATAATAGCTCCGTATAGCAAAAAATTACCACTTTATAAAGCCGCTCTCACGCGTAGACTTTTTTGTGACCAATACGAGTTTCGGTTTTTTATAGATGACAAGAATGTTCCGTTTCAAGCAGTGTTTGCTGCTCAGTTTATTATGGTTTTATTGTTACACTAAATCTACGCTAATCTCTTGATTAGTGAACATTTAACGTGCAAATGTGTTATAATGTCATTTAAATATATACGATCATTACATACTGCGCAATAGGATATAAAAGTAAATATTTTAATATGCAAATTTGACGCGTAATTCTCTTACCTGTTCTGATTTAAATAAACAAAAAAACTCGTTTAGACACTGCGAAGTAATCACAGAAGCCAAAACATTGATATAACAATCTTACTAATATTATAAATGCGAAAGTTTAGATGGATGGAGGGATGTTTGTTAGTGTTTGAAGACTAAACGGCTTAACGGATTTCGATGAAATTTGGCAAAGATATAGAGGATAGTCAGAAAGAATACAGAGGCTATATAATTTGTTTTTTTTTTTCAATTCCGCGCAGACTGAGTCGCGGCTTAAAGCTAGTCTTTTTATAAATAAAGTGCGAATAATTCTAAGCAATTATTCATTTAGCTTGTTCGTTTTACTTGTGTTATAAGTTGAACATAGAAGATAGTAATATCGAATATTAACCGGTCTTAAAATTAAAACGTCAGTTAAAGTGTACAGCGTTTTGATAAGCGCGTTATATTTATCGTGGAAATGTACAGAGGGTCAGGCGATATGAACTATAACTTTGTATCTTTAATGTCAACTAATGTGATAATGTAACTAAACAAGAACGTATCAACCTAGGTCGTAATTATATTTTGATCTCGACATACGTCACTGAGCTGTTTTTATACAAACTTAGGATCTAAATCTACTCCTACTGCTAGTCTAAGACTGTCGATATTAGAGTAGGGTTTTATTGGGCGACCGCCCAAGGCAATGGACAATAAGATGCCCTAAAATCTACGAATTAACAAAGCTTTTGCAGTGAAACCGTACGGTAAATATTTTAAATCTTTATTTGAACATTCGATATTGTTTCCAACTAAAAATTACATGTTTTATTTGTATTTAAATTAGACAAGACCTTGACACAATAACTGTAGTGAAGCAAAAATAAAATTCCCACAGATTTTTATTCGGGTCGATTGATGTGCCAAGAAAAGAATGTCAAACTGTTAGAAAATAGTTACGTTTATATGAGAACTAGCTGTTCCCGTGCGGCTTCATCCGCGTGGAATTATAAAAACATTATTTTATTGTTTACATTTGTCAAATTGTTAATTGCGAATGTCAAAATACCAATTACCTTACTATGGCAATCTTTCTTCCTAGATGTTTGCAGCAACTTATGGTCTCTTTCCCACATTAGGGTTTTCATCCAAAATAATTAGCCCCTGAGTTTAATGGCGTAAAAATCTATAGCATAAAGCTTGACGTACAAAGTGTAGGGCTTTTTATTAAAGAATTATTAAAAAATATGGTGTAATTGCTGACATCTTAAGAAACAAAGAAGTGTGTGTTTACGCTTTATTATAATAGTATAGAAGTATAGATTGAGAATATCGAATTAAGGTATATGTATAGCAAATCTATTAATACTTCTGTCTACATAATCATCGCAGCAACTTACGGTAAATAATTCTACGCATAGTCTAAAAGCTAAAGCAGTACCTTATCATAGTTATAAATCAAAACCAGTTCTTACAACGATACTTAATTGAACTAACGAATTTTTTACCATGCCAAACTTTACTACTGCTCGCATTGCACGACACTTACAGAACACAATTTTAGGTATAGCGAAACGTGAAGCGTTCACACAGATATAAGTTTGTAGCTAAGCCCGAGCTGTTATAAAGATTGAATCTTGTAATACCATAAATACTTATCATGCAATCAACAATATATTTCAGAGCGAAGATAACGGAATCTCTGGCTGTTCCTCTGAGTAATGGCGATGTACTCCACGTCCCGCCCCCGCCGAGCAGCGGCGTGATCCTTGTCAATATACTTAACATTCTTAGCGGATACAACTTCACACACAATAGTATTAATACCACCGAAGACAAGATACTCACATACCATCGGATTATAGAAGCATTTAAATACGCATACGCGACACGGACAAAGCTTGGAGACGTTGATTTCTTGGATTTACGTGATGTAAGTAAACATTACATACAAAAAGATGCTTAACAACTTTTGTTAGTTGAAAAAGTGTAGTAAAATCAACAATTTTCAGTATTAAGGAACATTTCTACTGGACATAGATTAGAACTTTCAAAGAGTAAAATGAACCTTCGATAGAACAACAATTCATCACAATTATACAAATTCGTTCAGCAATTACCTTAATTCCTTTGTAACTTGCTAGCATTTAAACTAGATATTTCTTATATCCAACAGCTAATACAAAACGTGACGTCACCAAGCTACGGCGCGGAGATACGTTCTAGAATAAATGATTCCTCGACCAGCAACGACACGGCGGTGTACGGCGCCGCAGAGTACAACCAGCCGGACGCCGGCACCGCGCACATCTCTATCATAGCCAACAATGGGGATGCTGTTTCTGTTACCAGTTCTATCAACTACTAGTAAGTTTAACCTAGCATATAGAAGTAAAAAGAATAAAGAACGGTGTTATTCAGTTTCTTTTTCATCCCTTAAAGTACCACTTAAATAAAGCACTTGTGCAGGATAAGAGTACACATTTTGGCTTATTAATGAATTTGGAGCGCTAAAATGCCCATACACAAAAAATTCAATGAATTATTTATTTTCAGTTTCGGAGCTGGTTTTACAACTCTTAACACCGGTATTATAATGAACAATGTAATGGACGACTTCTCACTGCCGGGCTTTATTAATTACTTCGGCTTAAAGCCCTCGCCTGCTAACTTCATAGCGCCGGGCAAGCGGCCGATGTCTTCAATGAGCCCCAGCATTATAGTGGACAAGGGCGGCAACGCTAAGCTCGTGATTGGCGCCTCCGGTGGTACGAAGATCACCACAGCTGTTGCATTGGTGAGATAATGAAAGAACGAGACATAAAAATGACACTTCACTTGTATTAACTATACGATACGGAAGGTTCCTAGTAGTAGCTTATTCAATGTTTTTTTTAAGGTGGCAATGCGCAAGTTGTGGTTTGGACAGACAATAAAGCAGGCGGTGGACGAGCCGCGTTTCCATCATCAGATATTTCCCATGAACGCCTATTATGAGTACGGAATTACAAAGGTATGATTTTAAATATTTTTAAGTCTATAGAGATTAAAAAAAACTACTTTTATTATTTGCTATATTTGGTATGAATAGCAATGCAAATATAAATATATTGTTTACTTCTATTCTATAATCAATGTTTAGTATTAACTTTGAAGATTTATTGCTGTTCTTTTGTTATTTTTAGGATATAATAAAGGGTTTAAGAGCAAAGGGTCACGGCATGGAGCGCTACCCCGGCAGGGGCTCTATAATCTGCGCCATGTACAGAAATAGAACCGGAATCTACGCCAACGCGGACTTCAGGAAAGGTGGCGACGTCGCGGGCATTGATTAACATAGAAAAATAATCTAATTTAAGACAATGTAATTTGGCATAGCAGCATTTTAGCGCTCCGTTGCTAGTTGAACGCACAAATACAGGTTTGTTGATATGTAAGCATTTACTGACTTTATTTTTTAATTTATCGCAATTTTAATGTAACTTGCCTGCTTTTAAAGCTAAAGATGAGTTCAGTGTTTTCATTATATTAAGTACGGGTCTGCGTCAAAACGCTTTATTTATGTAGTAGATGGATCAATATAATTGTAGATGCTATATCAAATCATTAAAAAGTCAATATTTAACTGTATTTTGTACCTTGATTATTACAAAATAAAACTAGGTCATGTTAAGATGTAAGTGATTGGCAATGAAAGTATGTAAGGGAGAAAAAAATAATTTGTATTATGTAGGAAAGTAATATTGATTTATGGCCTTTTCGGTAGGCTCAAAATATAATGAAATAATTGTAATAAATTACTGCAAAATGTAAATGAGCCAGCTTGTTTTTAATTGTGACAAAAAGAAATTAAAAATGTATAACCTAAAAAGTATTCCTTTAATATGATATTGTGATATAAATTAGAATTATCAACCTTCTGATACGAAATCTCTTAGTTTACAAAAACAAAAACCTTATCTTCAGTTTTACATTTATCTATTATGTTTTTCTTTCATTGTCAATAGTATTTATAAGCGTAAATAACAACAAATCTCAAAATAATTTAAATCTTTTGTATAACAGTATTAATTTTTTTTGTCATACGACATTTAATAGTTAAAACTTAACCGAATAAAATTGGTATTTTAATCTCACTGACAAGTATTGCTTTTATTGCAGTCTTTAAATTTGTAAACTAGTATTGTTTAAAAATCTCGTACATTAGGTAACCTGGACTGTTTCCTATGTATGTTAGATGTACAGGAAATAACCCAGTTTATATTTATCATTGTGACATTTTGCCTTAATTTATTTCAGTATTTTGGTATTAAATACCTTAACTGTAATGTCTCGCAGAATCGATGTTCTCAATAAAGATTTTTTTGTGTATTTTGTATTTTTTCTACTTTCCGACAGATGGCGCATAATAGCGCCATCTAGTGTTGAATAGAAATCATAATAAGAATTCAATCTTATAGAGTATTAATAATGTTGATTAGTTTGATAAAACACGCATATAAAATTTTTATGAAACTAAATACCGTACTTAATAGACGGTATTTAGTGATGGAACATAAGGCATACCGAATAACTGTTAATCATCGATATTCGGCATAATAATAAAAAAAGAACTAAAACTAGTATTTGCCTATGAGTAAATAAAGGGACACGTCTAGTAGTAAATATAGAGATAGCGATGACACTAATATTAACAAATTCCACTTAGATTATGATTTAACAGATTTAGGATCACTGTGGAAGGGAAAAAAAGACAAATCAATGAATAGGCAATTTAATTATTTTTGCATTGTAATTGCATTGCACTTATTATACTTATTTTCTATACACATGCATTAATATACGACTTATAAACAACGAAAAATCAGCAAGAACGTATAAAATAAAACTTTATTCAAATGAAAAAAAAAAATTGTAAAACATAACATTACTTTATATGAAATCAAAATACAGACAGATACAAATTTCTTCCAAAACTATCAACAAACCATATTTCCACTTAGTTTCCATTGAAAGTTACAGGCATATTATTATCATATTTATTGGCAGGTAAGACATGTTAATTGTCGCCGCTTATGTTGGCACGGCGAGAACAAGAATAATCTTTATGTTTGCCGTACGCACTAGACAGCACACGTTGGTTTACAGCAGGTCAACATGTCAAAGGTCCATCCTTTGACATGTTGACCTTTAGCGTGCAAATACGTTCACGGGTCGCAACATCCAACGATTTTGCCGCCTCATTGTCATTCCCTGAGTATAGGTACCTAAAATATTTTTTAATGGGTTTTCCAAAATGTCTCGCGCGCTCATATCTTACAGCAGGCTGGTTGTTGCCTATATATGATTTTCAGCATCCGTGAAACTATTATATAGCCAGAGCATCTCTCATAGCTTCCACAGGGTTGACGAACTTCGTGGAACCGATAATGAGGGCATTGTCTACTCCGCTGGTGATCATAGCGCGGTGCAGTTGCTTGCATTCCTCCGCAGTCACTCCGCCCACCACGAACACTATCACAGTCGGGTTGTCCAGCGGGTGCTTTGTGCTGCGAGACTTCTTGCTGGTCAGAATACTGAAACGAAATAGTTAAAATGCTGATTATTGAAACGACATTCAAATATAATATCGTTGAATGGTTAGGCTAAAATTCAAAATTCCTTACAAATGACGTCCAACAGATTGTAAGAGGCGCTTACGATGAAAGACTAATATAAAAGTGAATTATAAAGTGCCCAAAGAACACTTCATTTTTTAAGCATTTAGTGAAGGATGCGTAATTTTAAAGGTACTCGGTCAGTTATCAAGTTCATTACGCCACCTCAACCTCGTCCTTTTATTGACAATAAAACATTTAAAAAATTATAATAAGCTCCATCTTGTGTCAAAATAAAACATTTAAATTTCATTTAGTGGCACCTATTGGCAATTAATTTAAATACAAATTGACATGTGGTTTTGAGGACCTATCAATAGATAGCGTTAGTAGATCATGTGAATATCTCAATTAAAACGTCAAACGTTTCGTCTATATATTTTTTGAATCTCTGGCTGGAATTATACAGTATGGTAAGATTTACTTCTGGGGTCATGGTAGATCAGGGTGGGCTCTCTGATATACTATCAAAACGATCCCGGGAAGATGGTTATCTAGAGTGGTCCTTTGTTGCCTTAAAAAATTTAAAAATAAATTAACATAGTGAAGCCACAGCCTTCGACTATGTCACTAGAGGATGGCTATCGAGGGGGTTTTTGTTGGTCCCTACATAATCCTCCCTTCCCCCCAAAAGGCAAGGTATCTTTTGAAGATCCCCCCCCC